ACTGTAATTGGTGTTCTCTCACTTAGGTGAGAAGTAACAGTTCATCAACTCTTAATTAGCTTGGACTTTTTTGAGAGCAGTTTCCAATTTTTTGACAGAAAGATATACATCTTGTTTCTCCTGTAGCAATACAGAGAAAGTTATTTTACCTTGAATTGACAAATTGGGCTGTGTTTGCTGGTGTTTTCTTCCTCCTGATGGTGAGTGCCAAGCTGCATGTTGTACCTGGATTGCTGAGCAATTTATTCAGTTAGCATCGTTTGTCACAGAGAAAAGAGCACTGATTATACAAGAAAGAGAGTTTGAGCTCAGTTTAATTAAATTGTGAATAGGTAACCAGCAGCACTTGGAGTGATACATTAAGATACGGAGCAGCTTTTAGATATCTCATCAGCATCAGAGAAACTTCGTATTTTGCATGTGTTGTAGGTGAATGCCATTTCTGTTCATTGTACAGGTAGGAAGGCTGTGGCAACAGAAAGATGAAGCCACCTCAGATTAGTCAGACCCAAAAAAGTGTCACAGAAACACACAGAATCACAGAATGGCAAGGGTTGAAAGGGACCTCGGGAGATCATCTAGTCCAACCCTCCTGCTAAAGCAGGCTCACCTAGAGCAGGTTGAACAGGACATCATCCAGGTGGGCTTTGAATATCTCCAGAGAGGGAGACTCCACAACCTTCCTGTTCCAGTGCTCTGTCACCCTCAAAGTGAAGAAGTTTTTCCTCATATTCAACTGAAACCTCTTATGTTTCAGTTTGTGCCCATTGCCCCTCCTGCCGGGACAAATCATCTGCCTGGCATTTATCTGCTTGGCTTGTGAGTTCCATCAGGAGATGCTGCAGGGGAAGGTGACCATGCCACAAGAAACGGTGATGCTGCAGCAGGGTCGGCCCCGAGTCATCTCACAGCGGTGCCAGACCAGGCGGGCTGGGAGCTCGGGGCTGCGGCAGCCCTGATGTGGGCTTGCCCCACTGTGATCTCCTTTGCCCATGCTCATGTGCGACACTAGGTGTCGTGGTTTAACCCGGCTGGCAACTCAGCACCACGCAGCCGCTCGCTCACTCCCCCCTCCCTCAGTGGGATGGGGGAGAGAATCGGAAAGAAAATAAAAGGTTAGAGCCGAGGGCTGAGATAAAGACAGTTTAATAAGAGAAAATAATAATAATAGTAATAATGAGAATGATAACAGAATATACAGAATATACAAAACGAATGAGGCACAATGCAATGGCTCAATAGCTGACGACCGATGCCCAGCCCGTCCCGAGCCGCGAGCAGTCCCCGAGCCGCGAGCAGTCTCCCCGCAACCGACCGACCGCCCGAACTAACTAACCCCCCCCGAGCATGACGTTCTATGGTATGGAATAGCTCTTTGGTCAGTTTGGGTTAGCTGTGCTAGCTGTGCTGTACTCCCAGCTTGTTATGCACCTGGCCGAGCAGGAGAAGCTCAAAAAGTCCTTGAGTAGCCTGAGCACTACTTGGCAACAGCTGAAAACATCACTGTGTTATCAACATTCTTCTGGTACTAAATCCAAAACACAGCACTATGCTAGCTACCATGAAGAAAATTAACTCTATCCCAGCTGAAACCAGGACACTAGGGCAGGAGAGAAATGCTGGATGAGAAGCTCCCAAGTTGCAAATAGTCTTCTTGCAGCCTCTCACCCGTTGGTGGAGTACCCAAATCGCTACTGCTCTGGGGACAGAGCCATGGCTGTAAGCAGGGACTCAAGCGCTTTGCAGAAGCAGAGCGGTCTGTGTAGAGGCGATGAATCAGGGTTACCAGGATGGGTTCTATCTATGTGCCAGTAACACTTGCCAAGTTTTAATTACATATTGTACAATTATTCAGTGTAGATGAGTCCTTTTGGTAAAATGAAAGCTCTCACCTGTGTTAGCACCCTGCAGTTCATAGTGATAATTTTGTCACAAGAAAATCCTGCCCTGTGCCACTGTCTTTGGGACTAGTGATGGCTGAACTGTTCAACTGGGGGGAGATACAGACTGGGATGAGTCCCCTGGGCTAGGATGAGAGGCCACAGGCTTTGGAGAAAGCTTGCCCTAGCCCAGCAGAGAGCTCCCCTCTGGCAGCTGGGGCAGGGGAATAGGAGTTGGGACGTGGACAGCAGGACCATGGGGAGAGAGCAGGGGCCAAATAGCCCTTCCTCTTGAGATTCAGGAGGAAAGGCTTTGATAAGCTCTGTTAGGACAACACATGCTCCAGTCATCTCTTATTAAACTGAGGTCCTTTAGCAAAGCACTTGATGGGATCAGCTTTTGACTGGTTTTTTCGCATAAACCCCCCCCATTACAAGGTACTTTCATGGGTGGCTTAGGTGCCCCGACAGCCCACTGGCACACACTTACACTGGTGTCTGTAGAAGAAATCTGGTTTTAATAGAGAAGATGGACAAACACATGCAGATCAGTCATTTGAGAGATGGAGGGATCCCAGCACAAATGTTTCGAGAGATGAACAGCCAGCCAGGTCAGGTTGCATTAGAATAAATTTATTCCAAAAGTACACTTGAAAACCACAGTTTTTATTCAACATTTTAGATAACACATGTTTTCTGCATGATTAAACCAAACTTCTGCTAAGACCTTTTTAAAAGCACTTAAATAACATTTAAAACTATTAAGCAGTACATGATTTTGGCTGGAGGAAGCCAGGCTGTTAATGCTTGGTATCAGTTTGTTAAAATGCTACAAGAGGTTTCAGCATTAGCAGCCTGTGGTGCAGATGCAGAGGGTGTTTTCACTTGTTCGATCCACTTGTCGAGTTTTAGCTTCATTCAAATCTGAGAAGCCAATGACAGATTATTAAAGTAGGAAAGCTTGTATGGCCCTTTCAGTCTGTGAATGAAAATAAGACCAATGGAAATGAGCTTTACTGGTTCTAAACTTTAGAGGTGTTTAATTGTAGTTAGTGCCATTCCCTCCAAAAATACTTTGTACATGTAATATGCATTTTTCAGAAGCTTTTCTTTCTTTTCCTATATGCCTAGCACAGTGAAGTTAATTTATATACCTAAATACATGCTGTTTGATTTTAATTGAATAACGGTTTCCTTCCAACTAGAGCTTATCATACATCACCAAAAAAAAAATCATCATTTAGATTTAAAGAATAGTATAATCAGGTTTGCTTCAAAAAGGGCCTAAAAAGTACAAATATAATTGAAATGAAAATGATTATTTAAATAATTTTTCCTCCCACTGACTTAAGTGATGATTAAAGTTGCTTATGTAAATCAATAAATTGAATCAGGCTGGTCCTGCTATGAGTTCCCCACTGTGCAGTCTCAGAGAGCCTGAAGGTAGCTGGCAGTTGGGAGGATGGAAATACCTACAGATGTTGGCAAGGGAGGAGTCCAGTGTGTCATCTTCACCCTGCTGTATGTAGCAAGAGAGTCACATTTCTGTCACTTCTGCAGCTGCTGAAC